ATGACCTCCTGCACGCCATCATCGCCGCTCTCTAATTCAAGTGGTGCTGGCGTTGCTGCCCCTTTGCCGCTTCCTCCTGCTGCTCCCGCTCCTCCTCCAGGGGATTCGTCGTCGTTGTTGTCACAGCCGTGGTGATCACCTCTCGTGAACTCGCCTCTGGTGTCCTGCTCCAGAATGGCTGCTGCAACTTCGTCCTCAGGTGTGGCGTAGCTATGCCCGTCGTTGGCGTAGACGCGATTCGCGTTCGCTCGCTCGTCTTTGCGAAATTGCTCGAGGAAGAGCCGCTCGTAGAAGATAACGTTGCGCGCGTTCGTGACCTTTTGGCTGATGAGGTACAGGATCAGCCACGCTTTGTGTTCGTGGCTGATGCCGAGGTGAATACCCCAGCGCGCGCGGCTTGCGAATTTCCTGATAGTTGATGTTGGCAGGCTCTACTGCACCATGCACCTTCACACGCGGAGCATGGATGTGTCGCCCTTGGTCCCTGTCCACTTCAGATGCGGGGACAGATTGTCGGTGATGGCAGTGGTTGATAGCAGGTTGTGCACCCGCATGGCATGGTGCATTGCGTAGGTCCAATATATTGGTGGAAGCTTCGATTGCTTCATCAGCGCCCGCACCTTCGTCATGAGCGTGCGGTTCGTGCGCTCAGCTACGCCTTCCTGTTGGTGTGCGTAGGGGAGGGAAATGTGGTGCTCGATTCCCTTCTGTGCCAGAAAATCCTGCAGCTCCTTGCTCCTAAATTCGGCTACACCGTCCGATTGCCGGATTTCCAGCTTCTCCTCAGATTGCCGCTGCGCGTGCGCCAACCAGAGACGGAAGACTTTGTATGCTCTACTACGCGCCTCCACGTTCATGATCCAGACATAGCGCGTTCCCGCATCGACAAAGGTGAGCGTATATAGCTCGTCGTTGATTCCGCAATGCCCCACGTTAAGAAAGTCGCTGTATACTTTGTGCAGCTTGGGGTAGCGGTTGGTTCCAGGTTTGAGCAGCGGGAATGGCTGGTGACTCAGCGCAGCTTTGGGGCAAACGGTGCAGTTGCGCAGCTGTGTTGTGCTCCTTATTTCAGTGTTATCTGGGCGTAGGAGCGCGCTAAGTGCAAACACGCCGGCTTCGATGCAATTTTTCAGCATTACGCGCGAGGGGTGTCTGAAGCGCTGGTGCCAAAGGTCATCATTAGCGCGGAGTCCAGAAGTGCGCATGTAGCTTGCACGCACTGCGTCAGGGTCTTCTTCTGGTGTTGCGGCGGGTTCTGCTACCGCTTCGCCAGCTCCTCCTTCTCCGTCGTTGTTCGCCGCGGTCAGCATCAGCGCAAAAAATTCCTTGTCGAGAATGACGAAGTAGGGAATGTTAGTCCCAGGAATGGTTCCACGGACAAAGGCTGGTTCGCGCGGCTCAGGGTCAGGCCCGTAGACGGTGCGCCGCGGGGTAGAGGGCTTGTTGCCCCAGTCGATGGTGCCCCAAGGGTCGCGGTGCGTCAGGTGGGGGTAGTGCAGGTGCAGGGCGGCGCGGAGGGCGACCAACAGGAGGTTCTGCCTCTTCTTTTTCTTCCCCCCTTTGGTCCTCACGGGAAGCTCCCCAGCCTTCATTGGAGGTGCCCCAACCGCTTGTCTCGCCGCCAGATGCGGCGCCCCATCCGCCAGTGTTGGCGCCAGTTGCGGTGTCCCATCTGCCAGTGTTGCTCGTACCCCATCCACCAGCGTTTCCCCGCCCCCCTTCATTGGAGGCACTCTCCTCTTCTTCCCATCCACTCCAGGCGAATGTTCCGCGCGACTCGGCGAGACTCTTCTGGCAAAGCTCTTCTGCTTCGCGGCGCGCTAATTATTCTTTCTCCGCCACGGTAAGCTTCTTCGTAGGTTCGCACTAGTGGGGGTAGACGATCAGAAATTCTTCCTTCGTATAGGGTTGCGCCACTCCGCGGCTGTCGAAGGTACCGCGGCGTCATCCTCGTAGGATGCTCTGGAACCGCTCAGCTGGTGTGCCAGGAAGCGTTTGTCCTGGCTCTGGATTCGGCGGGTCGAAGACTCTGTCTGTCACAACTTCGAGTTCGAAGGCTGACATTCCTTCTTCAGGCAGTGCGTCTCGCTCAGCTTCGGCGATGGCGGCGAGTCCACGGCCGGCAATTGCGTTTGTTGAGGAGGTGGGCGTGTGGCAGTCCCTGCAAATGCCATCTGGGTCAGGGTCATGCAGCGCCAGCTCACGTGGGTGCGGGTGATGCGGCACCCACGGTCTTCCGTCAGGGTGCTTCCAGTCCGAACGGTGAATGTGCTCGATGCGCAGTGGGATGATATCGATTAACTCCTGCGAGTCGCCGCTGCAGTCGGGAATGTCGAAGTCGAGAATGTTAACTCCATTCTCGGAGTGTGCTCGTCCGATCTGTTTGCGCGCCTTATTCGGCGCGGTGTAGTGGAGCAGGATGTCGCGCGTCACGAGGTCGGTGCTGAGGTCAACTCCACAGTCCATGAGTTGCGCCGCCGAGAGAAGGTTGAATTGCAAATTCTGCACAATCAGCACGTCGTTCAACGTGATGTGCGTCCTGCTCCCTCTGGCCTTGAGAACCACGATTCCTTGTGCGCGTGTTGCTTGCCACTATGACATAGGTCACTATGGGAGTGGGGGTAGCGTTGGATATGTAACGCTCAGAGCCCACCATACGCTGGTCTCTGTCGTCAAAACACACATTTGTCTTTATTTTTTATATGCTCATAAACCTTGGTTGCGCAGAGAGAATTGCTTCTTCGCTGGGACGTGGAGTCTTGGGAGTTGAGCCATTTGTGTCGAGGGAGAAGGTGTGCGGGGCAGTATTATGACCATTCGAGGTCGGTTGAGAGGGTTGGGAATAAGTTCACGCGTCGCCATTCTGCAATGTTTGGAGTCCTTGCTCCAATCTGGTGAGTCGATGAAGTAGTTGTGCGAGAACGCCGGTTCCAATCGTCGCCGTTTCCTCACTTGTCGTAGCCAGATTGGGCTTCGCTTAAGCCGTCAGATTCGTTTGACCACCAGATCCTTACACGCGAGCGTGTGTCGGACGCCACTTTCCGTTCGCCGAAGATTTCGGAGGTGGCAGTGCGAAGGATTCCTTAGTCGCTCTCACAATGCTGCAATCAGAAGTTGATCGACCCTAGGATCACCTCAGGAAGGTTCACACACAATTGAGTGGTAGTGGTAGGCCCCTGACCTCAATTCAGAGTGGATGTAAAATGATTGAGACGATTAAAACATGCAAATACAAAGATATAAATAAGAGTACAAGATGGAATAGCCATGTACTCTAAGGGTACATTCCGCTCTGGACATGTCCCAATCGATTCCACCGCTCCGAACCGAACTAAACCAGAGACGCGAAAATTTTGACAATGTTTGAAACTAGGGTGTAATTCGGTGTAATAAGATGCAGTGTGGTGGAATCGATTGGGACATGTACGATTGGGACATGTCCAGAGCGGAATGTACCCTAAATGGTACATTCCCTTATTGCAGCGAAATCCAACGTACGACTCCAGACGGTTACAAAACTGTTCTTTCGTCCAACCGTCACTTCCGTTCTTTCGTCTTCAGCCTCTGAACTGCTTGCTTCGTTTGCTACTGTCAGGAGTGCACAATAACAGTTCATCTTTTACTATTCGTAACAAATTAGGCCAGGGCCCAGGTCTGAAGCAATGCATTGGAAGCAGCATTTCATGTGTTTCGTTTTTTCCAGGAAGGTACACCACACATGCGTTTTGCAACAAGCCAGAATACTTCTGTAACAGTCTAAAGCTACACGAAAGTTCTGAAGTAGATTCAACAGCACAAAGCGGAAGATGAACCGGCCCTTGCTGTTACCAAATTCAATCTGCTATTCGCCTTCCAATCTTGGCCTCCGTCAGGGCCTCCTCTCCTCGTCACCTGCAAAAGCCTGCCAACCCCGCTTTCTATTTGCCCCCCTCATCCATCCCACAATTTCCCCCACGTGCGCCCCGACCGATCCGCCTCTTCACTCCGATCACACTGCTGTTGTCACAGATTCCCGATCAACCCACTCCCCCTGTCTGTTTCTCAACCCTAACTTAGTGGCGCATCTCGTAGGCCCAGAATAGCGTGCGGGTATCAACAGCCCGTTTGAGGTGTCCGCGCCACTATCATGCTAACAAGCGCCGACGACTCCAACCCTCAGCGCGCGTGTGCAGCAACTTCTCCGCTGCAGCGCGCCGATGCCGCGGAGTCTCGGCGGCGTCATCGCGGCGAAACGCAGGTCTCGCTGCAGGTGTCGAGTGATGCAAGAGTGTAGAATGTCTGCACTAGTACATGCAGAGAAACCCATGTCAACTCACGCAACTGACCGCTATACTAGTCACGCAACTGTGCGCGAGCCCACTCAGCAACCGCCACTCGCGGTCGAATTCTCGCTCATTAACCGTCAGCTGTAAACTAGAGCCGTCTCCGCTCGTTGCGCTTGCGCCTCTCCTCTCTGCGCGGAAACTCGCCGCTCGTTGCGCCGCAGCTCCGCCAACCGTTCTCCCCCCGTTATCGCCTTCACCTCGGCCGAATCTGCTCCCATACCCCCTCGAATCTCGACCCGATACAATGCCTCGACTTGTTGCGCGCCTGCGCGACAGGAAACAGCCAATAAGGTAGCGACGTGCGCGGGCGCATGTGACGCGGCGCGTGAGCTCAACGAGTCGAATGTTGTGCGCTGCCCTCAGCGTGTTGGGCCCGTTGGAGGGGTATAAAATCAGCGAGGGTGATCGGCTTCATCCACACCATTTCGACGAGTCATTCGTTTAGAGCAGCACCGGTAAAAAGACGGTTCCTCCTGCAGCAGGAGCTGCTAGCGTTCTAAGCTGCTGTCCCCACTGAGGAAGTATTTTCTTGCTCAACCGGCGTCGCTGTTTGAGAGGACTGCGGAAAGAAATGGCCATGCGCATGCGAGGTGCGGTTGTCGCGAGCAGCGGGTTCGCCGCGCTGCTGGTGGCGTGCCTGCTGAGCGCAGGCGGGCCCAACTTGGCCTCGGCGCAATGGGACTGGTCTTCGCAGCTGCTGCCCAACTACAAGGCGCAGGCTCAGTCGGTCATGCGGCTGGCGGCGATAAGTCTGAATCAGACGAAATATTCCAGATTCACCCGGATCTTCACCAGCTACTGTGAGTTCTCAACCCTTCTGAACCGCTCTGTACTCCAGTCCAATCCGGGCAGCTGCTTTGCTTATTGACCGGGATGCAGGAAGAGACCCTTCTCATCCCCGCCAGCGACGACCGCTGGCTCTGCCTCTCTCAGTGTCTAATTGCTCTCATGCCCTTCCTATCTACTCCTATCCCACTCCCCTTCTCCACCCCACTCCTCCTAACCCCATCCGCCCTCGTGCAGTCAAGTCGGGGGATCTGGTCATCGATCAGGATGCAACCATCCTCATCCCCACCAACGAAGGCTTTTGGCACTACCCAAAAGCAAGAAATTTTGAGAACCTCACCCGCAACCAGAAGCTCCGGTTACTCCGTTACCACATTCTCAAGGGCCGTTACAACGCGGGGGAGCTCTGTGAAGTCGCTCCTAACACGCTCATGCCGACTTTCAATCAGAACCTGCCACTCAACCAGACTTCTACTTCGATGTGGTACACGTTTTTCGATACGGTTCCACGGAGGGTTGTGTCGAACCAAGGGTACCGGTATGCGTATACAGGGATTGAGGTACCAAATGCGGGGTTGGTGAAAAACATAGCTGCACATGGAGTGTCATGGGCAGGGCAAATTTTATCAGTGTAAATCACCCTGATACCCTGATTATCAGGGTGGTTTTTGGTAGTCACACTGATGGCCTAGGGTAATTTTTTCGGGAGCTAGAATTTTCCTGATATGCCAGGGTTTATGTTTAAGGCACACTGATGACTCAGGGTTACCTATTTCATAACGGGTTTTACCCTGAAGCGAGTAAACCCCCCCCCCCCCCCCCCCCACCCCACCCAAACTTCCCCCTAACCCGCTCCCCCCCGATTCGCCCTGGCACTTCTGTCCCGCTAAACATTAAGAAGTATATTAAATAACCTACCGACATACTCACGTTGGAGTGGCTCGGTCGGTAGATTGGACTTCGCAGGGAAGAAGACTCGGGATCGAGTCCTGTAGTTCTCGTTTTTGTTTAGAACTTCAGTAGAAAAACTTCATCAGGGTATTGAAAATTGTTACACTGTGGCCTAAGGGTAAAATTTTTGAAACTATGGAAAACCCTGATGAAAAAGAATTTTCCCAAGGGGTCACACTGATAATCAGGGTTTTGCTAAGGTGCAGGACTGATGATAAGGGTTGCTTGAAACCAAAAATTAGCCCTGGTCATGGGGCCTCGAGCCGCCCAACTTCTGAGCCTTGTCTTGGCGCAGCAAGAGGCACTATCTAGTTCAGTAGCAAGTCAAAACAGCTCCGAGCCACTGGTTATGGAGTGTAGAGGGGACATAATAAACCAGGGGTTTGGCAGGAGGTATGGGGTGAGTCATGCCGGATGGATGTTGTGATGTTTGTGTTAAAAGAAAGGGACTCCACTCATGGATTGTCATTGTTCGATAGTACAGTGCCAGAATCTTTCTGCTATGGACTTCGAAGATTCCTTAGGTTGATCAAATGCATTTGGTAACAAATAAAGAATGATTGAGGCCTCAGACGAGAGCCATGATAACCAATCTGCAGAGAGGGTGAAAAATAAAAAACAGGGGCTACCTCAGTGTGCTCATCTCCATAATACGGTGGTGCCGTATTAACAGGCTGGGAGGGTTTAAAGAGTAGAGATGCACGGAAAGCTAGTGGAAAAATGCGGTGGTATCACCACGACGATGACCTATACAGGATAGATGACCCGTGGGAAGCAATGAATGGCGGGTTGTACACGCAGGAAACGGCATTGTTCCCCTCCACCATAGTACACCCGAATGGCGAAATCCAACTGTGAGCTCCACTGCAAGCTCCCCAGCAGATCAGACTAACAGGTGCTAGTCGAACATGTATATCCGCGAGGCAATGTCAGTCACAAGCCACTCGAATCCCCCCAGCACCCCCTCGCCGGTCTTGGCACTGCAGGGCACGAGGTGGCAGTGCCGCCTGCCCTCCGCCAGGGCCTTCAGACCCAGCACCTGGGGGCAGCCCGTGGGAGAGGGGGCGGGGCATCACATGAATCAGGTGAGACCTGCTTTGAAGTTTCTACCCCGGCTCCACACAGAGCCTATGTGACCAGGTACGGGCGTGGTGAGAGGTGAAGCAGCATGGCGACAGGCAGGCACATCCACATACTTGTATGCGCCACGTTTGGGTGTAGATCGGAAGAACACCTCTCTTACCCTCTCTCCGGCCACCTCTCCCCCCCTCTCCGCCCACCTCGCTCATCTCCTCGGTGCTGAGAGCGCCCGGCAGGTCCTGCTTGTTGGCCAGCACCAGCAGAGACGCGCCTGCCAGCCTCTGTTGGGGCGGACGCGGACGGGAGCAGAGGCAGGCAGTTGAGAACCATGTGTTAAGAAAAACAAGATTTCAACAGCAGTAATGTCTCACCTTCCCCTTCCCACGCCTCCCCTCCCTCCCCTCCATCTCCCGCTCCCTCCCCCACGCACCTCCTCCAGCAGCACGCGCTGCAGCTCATCTCACTCCTCCAGCAGCACGCGCTGCAGCTCATCTCACCTCCTCCAGCAGCACGCGCTGCAGCTCATCTCACCTCCTCCAGCAGCACGCGCTGCAGCTCATCTCACCTCCTCCAGCAGCACGCGCTGCAGCTCGTCACGGCAGTCAGCGAGGCGGAGGCGGTCGCAGCTGTCGACGACCCACACGAGTCCGTCCGTGCGCTCAAAGTAGTTGCGCCAGTAAGCGCGCAGCGTGCGCTGCCCACCCACGTCCCACACGTTCAGGTTGAACCTGAGGGAACGGAACGGAATGGGGAGAGGGGCGAGGGGCAGTGGTGGGCACAAGGGCGGATCCGGTGTTACTTCCCTCGCTCCCTCGCGCTCGTGTGCACTTCCTTCCCCCCGCCACCCTGTCGTATTTCCTCCCACATGCCACGTGCTTCAACCCCGAACCAATCTTGCAAACTAACACCCGTCTTCCCCCCCTCCTCCCCTCCCCCCCCCCCCCCCCCCTTTCCCTCCCCCTAGCCTCCCCCCCATCAGGGCTCACCCTTTGTAGCGCAGAGTGGTGATGCTGAAGCCCAGCGTGGGGCCCACCTGCGACGTATCCTGGCCGTTGAACCGCATCACGATCGTCGTCTTGCCCGCGTTGTCCAGCCCCCTGCCAGCAAACGAAGGGACGAGCGGAGCTCAGGAACGGCGCGCGACGACAGACGGAGGCGAGAAGCGGTAGAGGAGGAGCGGGAGGGCGAGAAGGGCCGCGGAGGAGAGAAAGGGCGCGCGGAGTTGGTATGACGGGCTGCAAGAGGGGACCTGCCAACCTGCGTCGTCGCATAGATATTTAGGAAGAAGGGAATATCAGCGCGGGGCAGCGGCGAGCGGGGCAGCTGCACGTACACCATGAGGATGCGCATCTCGCGCTCCTTGCGCTTCAGCTTGCGGATGATCGTCAGCAGCACCATGATGATGCCGCTCCCGCCACGAGCGCCCGGCGCCGTCTGAAGCGCACTGCCGGGGCAGGGACGGTCCGCGGCGAGTGTTGCGCGTCAATTTACTGGCGCATCGGGCATCGCGGAGTGCGACGGAGGAGCTTCGCGAAACGCTGGCGACGGAGGGATGAGAGGGCAGGCGAGGGCAGGATGAGAGGGGAGGCGAGGGCGGGAGAGGGGACGAGGGCGGGACGAGAGGGGGAGGCGAGGGCGGGATGAGAGGGGAGGCGATGGCGGGATGAGAGGGGAAGTGACGGCGGGCTAAGAGGGAGGCGACGGCAGAACGGGAGGGAGAGGTGACGGACGGGTAAATCGCTTTTGCAGGCTCCAATCCCAGGCGTTAGATTTCAAAAAAACTGTGTTTAGAGAATCTTTGTTGATATGTGGTCTTCTCCTTATCTAGGTTTGGTGATAAGAGAGGTCCTGCCAAACCTGTTTGCGCCAAATTTATAGCTTCCGCATTTGGAACACCACTTTTGGGGCGCACAAATTTAACCATTTGCTGGTTAGAAGTTGTTTCTTCGCCGGGCAAACGGTCGCACAACTAGTGCGCTGCTGATTCCCCCTCGAAAGCTAGGATCAACCAGCCCACAAGTTATGCGGGGCAGCATTAACCCGCCCTAAAAAAAGTGCGCGTCTAGCGACTATGCCCTCTACAAAACCCACGCCGAATTTGGTTGGTTGGTCTGGTAAGGTGCGTCAAACTGGTGTCGTTCTGTAGGCACCTGACGATTGGGGGAGGAGGGAGGGAGAAGGGAAATGAGGAGGGTTCCGAGGTCGATTTCCCCCCCCCCCCCCGGGGCAAACGTGCGAGATGGGAAATTTAGAATTTTGGGGAGGTAGTTTTCGAGGGAAAATGACGAACTTCTCGAGGAATTTCTCGCGCCCAATGGAGGGGTAAATCGTGACCATCGAATGCAGGACAAGGGTAATTATTTGGGACTGGGCGTTTTCAACATAAAAAAACCCCAACATGCAGGAATGGTGAGTAGGCCGCCAGGTTTTTCACTTTGGTCGTTGGTGTGTGTTTATATTTTTCTATTTGAGATTTGCAACCCTGTTTGGGTTAGTGGCTGTACACGGAAGCTTGTTTCTTGGGTGGGAGGCTGGTGTTCCCACGCCCAGCTCCTCCCTTCCCGTCACCGTCGCACTTCCCCGTGAAGGGTGGGTGGCTGGTGGCGGGGCGGAGGCAAATAAACTTGGCCGAGGAGGAAGGTGATGAGGGGAAATAGGAACCTTCCTGGGGGTGCATTTTCCTAAAGGGAAATGACTGTTATGCAGGCATTTCCCTTCGATTAGGTTCGGAAGGAAAATGACTGCCACGTCAGCCTTTTCCGGGCTGACTGCCATTTCGAACCTAAAATTGCAGAGACGGGCATCTTCCTATTTTCCCTCCCCTTCCCTCCGTGATGCCTGCAGAACGATACCACTATGTTTCTATGTTGTAGGCTGTAGTGGGGTAGCCTCTACTGGATACAGCACTTTAGGGTTAGACCTTGCCCTACTTGTACTCATCCATCCTTTCTAGTCACCCATTCTTGCCGTTATTTCTGACATGGTATTCAGAGCAGTGCCCACCATTAATCTTTCGCACTACCCGAACAGCCCTGCCCGGTCGTAACTGTCAGAATTCCAGCCACTAACCACTGGGATAAAGGGGTTTGTTTGTGTAGCGTATGAGTGCGCCCATAACCCTCAGGCCAACGTGCCTGTAACCCTTCCTTATGATCAATCGAGGATCACCAGTGGACCTCTCACGGGAACCTGCCATGCCCAAACAGCGTCCCTCATGCTACCCACACGATTTGCCCTGCCCTGCGCTCTGCCCACTTGCTGCCCTGCCCTGCAACCCGCACGCCGCCCTGCCCTGTAGCC